CTAACAACAATAATAGAGATAAACGAAAGCAACAACAACAACAACAACAACAACAACAACAGCAACAGCAACAACAACAACAACAACAACCACAACAACAACAACAACAGCAATATAAAGAAGCAACAAAAGTAATAATAGACTTCTGTCCTTTGACCCTGCTGGTTTTAAAATAAAGTTGAAGCGGGTCTTTACAAGCCAACATCTGAGTCAAAAATAACCCATCCAGGTATTCCAAGTAAAAGGTAGAACCCTGCCTCTGGATACTCCCCCCCCCCTCTCTTTTCTTTTTCTCCCCACCACCCTTTCCGCACACACACATCTAGTTCTATAGGCAACTTTCTGTTTAAAAGATAATCGGTTAATACTTGTGTTAAAGCCCCATCCCCCCTCTCTCTGTATCTGTCGCTTCCTCCCTCTGTCTGTCTGTCTGTCTGTCTGTCTGTCTGTCTGTCTGTCTGTCTGTCTGTCTGTCTGTCTGTCTGTCTCTGTCTTCTCCTCCTCCTCCTCCTCCTCCTTCTTCTGTCTTCTCCTTCTGTCTTCTCCTCCTCCTCCTCTTCCTCTTCCTCCCCCTCTCCATTGTCCTCTTCTTCTCCTTCTCTGTAATATATTCTCATGTTATGTGTTTTTTTTCCCCCAGCAACCAGTTCCACAATTTCTCTCGTCAGTCAGCATTTATTGAAGAAGTCCTCCAGCCTGTGAAGCAGCTGTGGTCTTCTGAGGAGTTTATCAGGTAACTCTGAGATGATTTTTTTCTTTGATGATCTGAATATGACCATTAATTTAATACAACATTTTAGTTTGGGGAGGGGAAAAAAATCGGCAAGGATGCCATATTTTCCTTCTGTTTGGCAAGTCAAAATTAAAAAGTAAATCATACTTTTGCAAAACCACCCTGGCTATCTTTTCTGGTGTGATTTTTGTTTATGTAACACCTTCCAAACGCAAATTTCTTTTTAAGATGCTGGAAGTCTTACTTTGAGGTTCATCTCTGACATTAGAGCTCCCAAAACAACACAGAGTCCAAGAGGGCTTTGTTACAGATTGAAGCTAGGAACATCTGCAATGTAGATCAGTTTGATACTAACTGAACAATCACTGTTCCCCTCAACTTATTACGATGTGAGGACTTTGGGTGTGGTGCCGTGATAATTATGATCAGTGCACCAGTTTCCTCCTACTTTTGCAGCTGTATGCTTTCACAACTTGATGATAATTTATTACCTTTATATAGTGTAGAACTCTGATTTAAATGCTCAAGCTTTAAGCCCTTAACAAGTACAACTAGGAACGACATGAACTGTACATTATGTTCTGGTTAAAAATTGAGGTAAATGGGGGGGTTGGTGGATGCTCTGGTTTATTCTGTTCTTTCTTCATCTTTCTAGAGTTTCTTTCATTCTAGTCTTGTCTTTTCTAATCGTAGCTGTTGTCTTCCTTATTCTGTGTCAATAGCTCAGTTCTCTTTTATTTGAATGCCAGAATGTTTGTTCCTCGACATTGGAACCTATGATTTTTATTCTCTTTTACCGGTGTCCCCCAGGGCTTTCAGTTCCCCTGAATGCTTCATGAGTTATGTGGGACTTGACCAGGCAGCTGTGGAGCCAAGCTCAGCGGACACTTGTGGCATCAACCGTTCACACGTAAGTTTCCAGTAAAATGTGTCACGACGTGGTGAATCAGGCTCTCGTCAAATTTGGGGTATGTGGAGTTATTGGTCATCTTAAAGCTTGTTCATGTGTCTTTCTTTGGATGAAAACAATATCCTTTTATCTTGAATATAAGTCGAGATATTTGCGAATGAAGGACGTGGGGGTCACCTGGTTTCAGAGGTAAAATTAGCTAGAAAATGGCCGCCATAATTAGGAAATTACTTAGCCTGAGAGTCCGTGGAAATTGACAATTTCCATTTTTTGTGCCTTTAGTCAAGGTTTTTCAGTAAAACTCATGCAGAAATGTGTTCTTTAATGGACATAAAAGGTATTGAGCCAAAAAACGAAAATCTGATAAAAATTCACAAACCGGCGGAAAAATGCCAGTTTCTTCACTTTGACGAGTGCCTGATTCCACCACGCTGCATCACAAATGATTTTGATAGTGTTCTCATATTTTTAAAATTTATTTTTAAACATTTTTTTTAATGCATAAATTGAAAGTACAGAATGAATCTCAAAGCTCAATCTTTCTTTGTTGTTTTTAAGTGATGTGAAACTTGTGATAGACAAACTGTAGTATTTGCCAGATTAACGTGTGATGTGTGTTAACTGCAGTTCTGTTCTGATATGCTCAACAAGGATGTATGTTTGCTCATTTTTGTCTGGGTTTTTTTTTATTGTTGTTGTTTTTCAATTTCCTTTCCTTGGTGTCTGTTTTAACATTCCAGATCAAATTCAATACTGTCCCTCTATTCTATGCAACTATATATGTTTCTTTGAATGAATTATGATTTCAAATTTTTCTCTTTATGATTAGAGACATTATTATTGCCTTGATTTTAGAAATTATAAGACAAAACTTCCCTATATTTAACCCTATCCGTACACACTGGGGTCATTTTGTACCCCCGGGGTTGTATTCTTCACATTTTAGAATACTTCTAGTACGAAGATCTCTTTGAAACTTTCAGTATTTCTCAAAAAATCATTTTGACAGACTGCTATGCAAAGCGTACGGATCGGAATAACGAGTAAATTTCCTCTTTGAAAGTGGTAACACAGAGTTCCCCCACATCGTATGGATACAATATTAAAACACGATGTACGCATAGGGTTAACTTAGTTTTTATTGATGCTGTTATCATGTTTCACAAATGATATGAAATCATGCCCAATGATAACACCAGTACTTTTTTCATTTTCAGATCACCTACTGTATCAATACCATATTAGCTGTTATCAAAAGGAGCAAGTGGCCGGAGGATTATACAGTAAGTTGAAGTTTCGGTTTCTGTGTGGATACTTGTACCATTATTCCTTAGGTTCAAGAAGAAAAGATTATATTGGACTCAAGATGCTTAATGACTTAGAGCAATTTCTTGTCTCAGTGCACAGTCCCAATTTTACTCATCTATGAAGAAAAATGCAGTATTGCATTTGGTTATGGGTGCTGTGTATGTCAGATGATTTGTACCGTGAATATTCTTGACTAAAATATAGTTGTTCCTGCATCCGATCCGGACATTGGGGATTGCTTTGTTAGTGAGACAACTTCCTGGGCCTTCAGCATATTGTGGTAAGGTGGCCAGTTCCTTTCTACTGCGCCTTTACTTCCCCAACTCGAAGTCAGGTACCCATTACTGCTGGGTGGGCAGGAGAGGGCAAAAAAAATCTGTGTCCAAACTGAGGCTCGAACCCAGACCTTCCGCTTCAGAGACGAGCGCACTAACTGCTCCACCACCGCACCCTCTTGACTATACAATCAGAAAGTAGCTCATGCACCCCCTCCCACACAAGCTTAATGTGCGATCTATTTTGAATGTTGTTTTCCTCACAAATGCTGTGGCTTTAGTTGAACGTATGAACATTTTTTTTCTCTCCTCCAGGTTGCAGAGAGAGGGGGTTTTGTTGTCCAGGGGGAAAATGGAAACTTTTTACGCAACCCGGCAACTCCACATGTGTGTCCCCTCCTAGACAATGTGATAGCTTTACTCAAGTAAGACATCATAGTGCTTCTGAATTCTGTTGCTTCGTTGTTAACTCACTTTTCTGTTGTTTTATTTTTTTCATGTTCCGCTTTGTTGTCTTCTTTTCACTTTTCTTCTCTCTGAAAATGTATTAGATGGTCTCTTTCATACCTACATGTCTGAGTCAACGGGGAATGTGTTGTTTACCACCCAGCAGAATGGCGTTGGTATTCATTTGAATATCTTCTATTTATATGGAAATTGAGTCACTTGTGTGGGTGGTTGGCGGGTGCTCTCGTGTGGTTTGCTTCTTCTTTCCTATCAAACATTTATCATCTTTATCTCCCCTCCTTCTTTTTCGTATTTGTTGCTTTCTTTTAACACATCTAATCTTCGTCACTTGTTTGACCTTGTTGTGTTGCAAGTGCCGTAAAACACTTTCTAAAACAAAATCGAGTCACTTGTCGTCCCTCTAAACACGTACTAGCGTAAGACACATCTGACCCGAAATCGAGTTATACCAATCACGCGATTCCCTTTATCCGATACTATGTCCTCTCAAAAGATCATAGGAATCGAGCGATAAATAGCTGAGATATAGTCGATTCCAGTTTGAACGTATCCCACTTGCCCACAAAAAGATACAGCACGTACTAACACACTGTTGGTTACGCTAGTGCGTGACGTACACTTTGACCCAATGTTGTGTTTTTATTATACGGCACATACTAACGTAAGCCACACAGCGGGGCTGAGCCTATAGCAAAAAAACATCGCGCAGCGCTTCTAGAGAGCGGGAAGACAAGCTAAACTACACACGTGAGCAGTGTGCTTCGTGTGAGACGGTGAAGGCTCAGACTCCACTTCTAGAAGTCCCTTTTTACTCGTCCTTTGTTTACAAATGGGATCCCGCTCCGAACAACCTCTTTTTGTTTTAGTAAGAGTTTTACGGTACTCGCAACACAATAAGGTCATATAAGTGCCAAAGATTAGAGGTGTTACAAGAGAGTAACAAACACAAAAAAGGAGGGGAGATAAGGACGATAGATGTTTGATAAGAAAGAAGAAGCAAACCACACCAGAGCACCCGCCAACCACCCACGAACAACCTCTCTTTCTTTGACATGAAGCCCTAGTGTTCAAACTCTGATTGACATGCAGAACCCTGGTGAAGTTCTTAAACTCACAGACTGCAAAAGTCATGGGTGTCCTACTGCCACCGAGAACTTTAAGGGACAAATAGATACACGTATGTGCTTCAAGGACACTGATATGCTTAGTGAGGCAGACAGTGATGAAATGTCAGTGTGTGACTACGACTCAGATGGCGATCCGGAATTCAATCTTGGAACATGCGAGGTCAGAAGGTGCAATGCTGAAGAATGGGCGGCTTGTCCTGATTGCGAAATCCTTCTTCGCTTTGATCATTTCAATGAAGAGATTGCATCCTGTGTTCAACATGGAAAAAGCACAAGAAGGTCAAAGGAAAAAAAAGTGTAAAAGCTGTAGGTAGGCCCTCAAAGTTTAAGATTCCCGCCGGTGTGAATGTGAACACTGATGCTCCCGGTTAGTTTCAGACAAAAGAAACAGTCATTGGTGAGCGGGGTGGAAGAATGCAAAGATCAGTTCCCGAGCAGTACACAGTGGAGGGAAGTGAGAAAGAAGTTAAAAAGGAAAAGAAACTCAGATCAAACAAGCAGAAGGAAACCAAAGTGAAAAGGGATTTGGGACAAGAGTACACAAGCATGAAGACAAAAAAGACTGTGCCCGCCAAACACATAAAAGCAAGATGTAAATGAGACACGTGTGCAAAGGAGAAGAAACAATGCTCATCAATTAATGTACTGACGAGCAGAGGCAGGCCATTTTTAAAATTCATATCACCCCCTTGGAGATCTAAGAATGACGGGAGTTTCTTGTGAGGCATGTCAAATGCTGTAAAACGAAGAGGAAATACACTGAAGGCGAATCACGAAGAAATAATATCAGACAGTACAAGTGATACCAGACAGTACATGCTTACAGTTGGGGAGAGTTTTGTTCCAGTCTGCAAACTGTTTTTCTTTAACGCTTAGGGTATTTCAGAACAGAGCTCCTGAACGGCATTGAACAAAGTTACTTCCACTGGTATAGCTGAGAAAGACAAACGAAGTGGGAGACAGTCCGAGGCAGAAAGAGAAAGAGATGTAGATCTATTTGTTCACACAGCATCATCTCATCACTTGGACAGATTTCCTAAAGTCGAATCTCATTACTTTAGAGAAAAATCAACAAGAGAGTACCTGAGCCCTGAACTCAGCAAACGGCACATGTACCACACACATGTACCACATGTTCATCTAGGAATGATACCCAGAACAAGGCCACCAAGCTTCAGTACATACAACGATGTATTCAAAAGTAAAAATCTGTCAATCCACCGACCCAAGAAAGACCAGTGCTTTCTTTGTGTCAATTATCATCAAGGAAATGAAGAAACAAAGATAGGTCTTAGGGAAAAGTTTGAGATCTATTTGGGAGAAAAAGAAAGGGTCAGGGAAATAAAGGATGTATGCAAGTGCAAGAAAGAGCTCAGGAAAGTGAAAACATTTTCTGTGCAAGTTTTGATTTGCAGCAGGTGATTTACCTCCCTATGTCACAGGAGAGTGCCATCTTTTACAAAAGGAGGTTGTCGAACTACAACCTGATTTTCTATAACATTGCTAACAGAGACTGTCACACTGCTTCACTTGGGATGAAACGCAAAGCAAAGGTGGATCCTCGGAAATTTCAACTACAGTCCACCGTGCCCTGAAGTTTTATGACGACCGTGGCATCTAAAAAGCTTTTTTTTTCGACGATGAATGCAGTGGTCAGAACAAACATTCGATTACGCCTGCGATGAATTTGTATACAGTGAGCAATAGAGTGAATCTTGAAGAGATTTCATTGAGGTTCTTTGAAACAAACCGTCTGCAGAACGAGGGTGATTCTGCACACAGTGCAATAGGACATGCCCTGAAGAAGGCTGGGGATTTGTTCCTTCCTTCTCAGGTAGTAACAGTGATGTCTCTCGCCCAACCTCAAAAGCCTTACCAAGTGAACCAAATGCAGTCTAAAGACTGTCTGGATTTCAAAGGCTTATCAAAGGACTTGAGAACCCTGGACGCACGAAGAGGATCTGATACAGAAGACACATTTTCGTGGAACAATATTATGGGACTGGGAGTTACTATTTTTTTTTAAAATCATATACTGTTGACGTCTTCATATTCCGAGTTGCTGTTAACATTATCATTTGTCACGGATAATACTACCCGTGAATTTAAACCAAATTGATCTTTCTTTGTATTTTTATTGTTATTTGGAAGTTACCATTTAGGCGTAAGCCACGCAATGAACGTAAATATGCTTTAGAATACAAAAGCACGTACTAACGTATCCAACAATCTAGTAACGTAAGCCACACATCGAGGCTGTCATTGACGTAGCACGTACTAGCGTATCGGACAAAAAGGTCATTTTCCCTTCAAAACCTACTATTCTCACAAAGATGCTTCTAGCCAATTGAAAAGTAGTTGGCCCACACACGTTATGTCAAAATATTAAGGGCAGGATCGGCTATTTGGTGCCACGATGGGATGGTGAAAATCGCTCAAATCTTTAAACGTCTCTCCTGCAAAACTAACAAAATGTGGCTTACGCTAGTACGTGTTTTGAGGGACGTTGTGAGTGCTTGGTGAGTGCTCTGGTGTGATTTGCTCCTTCTTTCCTATCAAATATATATCGTCCTCATCTCTCCCCCTTCGTTTCTTCCTATGTTACTCTGTAATAACACCTAATCTTTGGTTCTAGTATGACCTAATTGTGTTGCAAGTGACGTAAAAATGTGCCACAACGTTGTGGAATCAGGCGCTTGTCAATTTTTGGGCATGTGGAGTTATTGGTATCATCTTAAAGCTTGTTCATTTGTCTTGCTTTAAATGAAAAGAATATCCATTTATCTTGAATACAAGTCAAGATATTTTCTAATGAAGAAGGAGGGGGTCACCTGGTTTCAGAGGTAAAATTAGCTAGAAAATGGCCGCCAAAATTTGGAACTGACTTTGCCTGAGAGTCTGTGGAAACTGACAATTTTCTTTTTTTGTGCCTTTAGTCAATGTTTTTCAGTAAAACTCACACAGAAATGGGTTCTGAAATGGGTTCTGAAATGGACATAATGGAGTTGAGCTGAAAAAGAAATTTTCGATAAAATTTGCCTGTCTGGCGAAAAAATTGCCAATTTCTTCAATTTCATTTTTTTGACGAGCGCCTGATTTCACCACGCTGCCTCACAAATCGTATTAAAACTACAAGTAACAACTAACTGTTGTGTGCAAGATGGAGAACCTAATCTTTTTCCTGGAGACTCTGGTCCTTAAGATCTAGGTTGAAGGAAAGGACCTATGGGAATGGGAAAAAAAATATAAGATCAGACTTAGTTCAAGTTATTTGATGCTTTTCCTCCCCTCAGAACTGGCTGTTGTTTGTTTAAACCTGAGAGTCTCAAACTCCGCCATCCTGATTTCCTCAAAGCATATGATCTCATGGAACATGACAGACTGAACATTCTAGGTATGGACTCCCAGATGAGACACTTTGTGCTGTCTGTGTTATGTTGTCTTTTATATTTTTCGGAGTCGTATGATGAGGGTTTTTTTTTGCTTCAAAGTCAGTTACTGGTTGATATGATGGCTCTATTCTGGTTTACTCTTTCCTCTTTTTGTGTTTGTTACTCTCTTAACTTCTGCACTCATATGACCATATTGTGTTGTAAGTGCAGTAAAACTCTTACTAAAAAACTTTTTAATGCATGCAAAATGTGTGCAAACATTTTAAATTCAATACGTACTGGGACAGTTTCCTGAAAGTAAGATACAAATATATTGTACATTCACTTTACAGAAATAAGCTGTTTTATTTTGATTTGATGAAGTGTTGTCATACTTTGTTGTGTTAAGCCATGTTTTGTTTCCTTGCTCCAGGCATTCCCCCAGCGTGTGTGGACAACTCCGACTCCCTGGTGTACAGACATCCTTTAGAGCGCATGCAAAACTTCATAACAGCCCTCTTTGAGCACAGGTGAGCCTCTTTGGGGCTATGGGTAGAGTTTGAGCCTGTTGTTACTGGGATTGTTTCTCTGTTCTGTGGTTATGACCTCTCAGTTTTATAGTGGCTTTTCTAGGAAAATGTCTCATTTAGAACTTGTCCAAAAAAAAAAGTGGAAGTGTAAGGATTTATGCCCTTTCAAAACAGATTATTCAAGAGGTGAGACCTCCAAATTTAATGTCCATCTCCGACAAGACAGAGCCTGTTGGGATGAAAGTCTAAAATTTCCACAAAACGACTGAGTTAAAAAATGCCCTGCTCAAGATTCGAACCAGGGCTGTCCTCTCCATAGTCCACCGTGATACCAACTGAGCACATTATGTATTGTGAGGGTGGATTTGAAAATATGTATAGATGTTTCAATTAATTATGAGTTGACTAATGATGGCTTTGTGATAATGGAGAAATTAACCTAAAGTATTTGTGTAGTCTCGTTGGTCTTATTGCAAACAATTGTTGCTGTAAATCCTGAATGCCTTAATGTTGGGAAAAATAGAATTCGTCTTGACATTTCGAATTTAATTTTTACAATACCATTATCCAGTTCAGTGGAGGGTGTTTTCCCTGCACTGTGCTGGAGACTTTTCTGCTAGCATTACACCATTCTTAATAAAAATTTGCTCAGTATAAACTTGAATGATGTCAGATATTAAAATTAGACCAAAAGTGAATCTGGTATAGCTGCCCTTTTAAGGGATTTAACTCATAAGGTAAAGTCTTTAGAACTTTAGTTATGTGAGCCGATAATATTCCTGTAGCAAAACTTGGATTTATGATTAGCATAGATACAGCAGAGATGCTCAACTAGTTAAACTTATTGGTTAAAAGTGACATCAAATTTATACAGATAATTTTCTTTCTGATACTCCAAGGATGTTACTTTCAAAATAAGCTGTAATGTACCTTTGAGAAATGAAATCCTTTCACAAAACCATCTCTGTCTTATTGAGCTCATATTAATTTATTTCATTCTTTTCATATTCTCATGCATTCTTTCAGTTTTCATATTCTCGGCAATGCAAGTTCGTGCCTTGGAGTGGAAATCTACTCAGCCCCTGGACTTTCAAAAGTCATTATTGAAAATCTCATTGCAAACTACACTCTGTTGCACGACTATCGAGCGCGTATACTCATACGTATCCTTTGTTGGTTGAGATATCTTGGACCTATTGGTGTCTGTCTTGAGGTTGTGTTGTGATTTGTGTCTACACGCCTGTTTGATTATCAATGTTGATGTGACAAATTTTTGGAATTTGTTTTATTTATATTTTCTTTTATGTTTCTACTCCTGCTTAATTACCATTATTGTTTTAACTCTTTCCATGTACAATTATTTCATCACTTACATATAATATATGTGTCACAACGTTGTGGAATCAGACGCTCATCAATTTTTTCACATAAGGAGTTATTGGTGTCATTTTAAAGGCTATTCATTTGCCTTGCTTTTGATGAAAAAAATATCCATTTACCTTCAATAAAAGTCGAGATATTTGCGATTGAATGAGGTGGGGTTGCCTGGTTTCAGAAGTAAAATTATCGAGGAAATGGCCGCCAAAGGTTGGTGATTCTCATAGTTTAAAGTCCTTGAAAACTGCAAATTTACATTTTTCGTGCCTTTAATCAATGTTTTTCCATAAAATCCACACATAAAAGTGCTGTACGAACATAAAAGGTGTTGAGCCAAAAAAAACCCCTAAAATTAGAAAAAATTGTCAAAACTGACCGAAAAATGGCGATTTCTTGGATTTTTTTATTTTGACAAGCGCCTGATTTCACCATGATGCCTCACATATATAGACTGGCAGCGCTGTGCGAACAGCATAGGAAGAGTTGGGTTTTTTTTCCCCAATATTTCAGGGCTTGTTGTTTGATTTTAACTTACCCTTTTACCTCTAGCCATAAAAATTTTGTAGGTTCTGGTTGGCGCAGATTTAGAATCTTTCATTAGTTTTCTGGTGTAAAAGTCTGTTCACAGCTATTGTAGTAGGCTACATAGAATCCCACATGGTGCATTTCAAGGCATATATTGTACGGGAGCTGTCACGAAGCGGTTAAGGATATTTTGGGATGCATATGCACTATTTGGCGAAAGGTTTTTGGTATTTTCTTTATTTGGTGCAAATTTTTCAAAAATTATATTTCATGTTCTTGACCCTTAACCACAATCTCAAGGGAACTTTCTAAAGCTCTTCATACAGCATTGTCCAAAAGAACATCATCACGATGTTGCTGTTCCCATACTGAGAATTTTGTGTCCAGAGACCTATCAGGTGAGACCCCCACTCATGGTTGCTGTCTGTAATTTTGTTTCCTCAAGGGTTTACATACTTTTTGTTTCACTGTTACCTTCTTAGTAAGTCTCCATATGTGACTCTAACTTGCTCTCAGTCTTGTTCAACTTTTGATTTAAGTTTAGAATTATACTAATACTTGGAACTTTCGGTTGATTTAAAAAAAAAACAACCTTTATCATCGTGGAAGGAAACTGAAGGCCTGAGGAAGCTTTCCATTTTGTTAATGACAAGCTCAGGACTCTACCTAATATTTTGTTGTTCTAGAGTATAAATTTTATACCGTGGAGAGATTATGTTCTGAGTTTTAAACATTTTTTATTTTATTCATTTTGGGGGAATATGATATATTACATTTTTTTTCTTTTTCATGTTTGTTAACAACGCCTTTAGTATAACTTTCCAGGAAATTTTATTATTTTATTTTTGGTTTTAGTATGATCATGATTATCGTAATTGTTATTGTCATCATCTTTTTTATCCAAGGTCTTGTTGTTATTGTCACTTTTGCTTTCCCTTTCAGAGATTGATGGGTCGATGGCAAGTGCTCAACAAAAGGGCAGAAGAAAGGTGAGTTTAGTACTGATTGTTCTTTATTGGAAAATTTAGATATCTCTGGTCTGTTCATTTTCATTTTTCTAAAGAGAAACTCATTTTTATTCCACTGTGTGTAAACACGTGGTACATATTTTTGACAAAGTAGATCAGGATTCTTTGTGAACTAAAAAAGAGTTTTTAAAAACAATTTTGTCCTTTGCTTTTTAAAAATACGATAAAGTGTTATTGATAGGTTATTTCATAGAGGAAGAATTTCAGTGCTTGAGGAGTTTCTTCCCTATTTGTTCCGCAAGTGTTTTATGTGTCTTTTGTTTTTGTTTTTATCAGGGCTGAAAATGATGAAGAGGAAGACATTGATACCCAGGAAGTTTTGGAGGATCATTTGGTACGGCATCTCACCAGAGAGTATCTCGATTTCTTAAGTGAGTGCTGCTTCTTTTTTCTCTCACATCAATATTGCATATAGAAAAGATATATTTATTGTGAGAAACAAGCTAATGGTAGTGTCTATGTTACTGTTTTGATCATAGCTTTCACTCTCCTTGTATTTATGTCAGACTGCACTTACAGTCAAACTACTTATTCTAACAGCAGGCCTGCCAACCTTTCCGATTTTGTCGGGATTTCCCAAATCAGATGCCCTGCTCCCGACTTCCCGATAACAGTCTTGATTTCCTGATTTTGGAGCAACGCTATATTATAATATTATTACAATTATTTGGGTGGAAATGATAAATTAAATCGACGATACTGTAACTCGTGTGTTACTAAAATATCCAGATTGGCTGTGCGTCCTTTACTGTTTGACAGTTCGGCTACGTATAATGCTCAAGTAGACCTGGCAACCGAATTTGCACACTATGTTTACTCGATCCAGACTCAGTGTTGCCTCATTGGCCATAAATACGGAGAGCTTTATTATTTATGAGATATGTGTTGGCGGATAAGTGGACAGGAATTTGACCCGGTACGCAGCGCGACGTGCTGATTTTTCCCATTTTGCATTTTCAAAAGTTGGCAGGCCTGTAACAGCCTCTTGTATAAGTTAATCACCCGTAACAACAGCTACTTCCCATCCCCCCCCCCCCCCATATTGCGCCTTTATAATGACACTGTGTAAAACGCCCATCTGTCTCAGGTGGTACTTTTCTTCTCGACAGTGATTTGTCAATTTTTACTGTATTTTATTTTTGAAAAAGCAAGAGTCTACCTTGTTAAGCTTCTGAGTCCCTTGAGATTGTGATCTGCCTTGGGAATGTAGTCTGGCTACCTTAACAAGAATAAGATCAGGCTGAATAATTGTTTTTTGGAGTGATTTTACACCTCGGGATGGCCCTTGTGAACCTGTCTTACACTCCGATCTCATGCATTTCTTATTGATTTTGACGTGTGGAGAAAGACGACGGAGTTATTATCTGCTCACCTCTCTCTCTCTCCTCTCTCTCTCTCTGACTCTCCCCTCTTTCTCTCTCTCCCCTCTCTCTGTACCTATATCTCTCTTTCTCTCTCTCTTTCTCTCTCTCTCTCTCTCTCTCTCTCTCTCTCTCTCTCTCTCTGTCTCTGTCTCTCTTTCTCTCTCTCCTGGTGCTGTGGCGTCAAAAGTGGTCGGCGCCGACAGCACGCAGGAACTCAACACTTGCTCGTGGGTCCTTAAAAAGGGCTGAACTTGGGTCACTGAAATGTCTCAGCAGACGTGTGGTTGTTGAGGTCCTGGTGTTCCAAGTGGATCGGCGCGTTCTGCAGCTGTCATCTTTGTCGGTTGGTAGACTGACCTCCCTCGGCAGCAGCTGGCGGGGGCACCATCTCTCTCTCTCTCTCTCTCTCTCTCTCTCTCTCTCTCTCTCTCTCTCTCTCTCTCTCTCTCTCTCTCTCTCTCTCTTTCTCTCTCTCTCTCTCTCTCTCTCTCTCTTTCTCTTCCTCCCAAACACTTCCCTTTCTTAAAAAAAAAATCTCCATTTCAAAATTGTCTTTTATTCACTTGTTTTCCCAGACTTAGTTCTGTTTGGTAAGAATGTGTCCTCTGAGGTTAAGGAAGAAATGCCCATGGATGATGGGGATCTGCCCAACAAGGGTGGGGCCAACACTACCACCTCCTTCAAAGATCTGAGCGATCTGGGAACTGTGGTCATGGGACTGCAGGTGAGGGCACTTGTTTCAGTTGTTCTTATTTTTTCAAAATGTTATGGATTTAGGAATATAATGAAAATGCTATGGATTTAGGAAATTTGAAATTGTTATTGATTTAAGAGATTTGAAAATGTTACGGGTTTTAAAAAATTGAAATGTATTTAGGAATATTTGAAGACATCCTTCAAAGATCTGTGGTCTTGGGACTGCAGGTGAGGGCACTTGTTTCAGTTGTTCACCTTTTTAAAAAAAAGTGTTTTGGATTTAGAAAATATTGAAATGCAATGGATTTAGGAAATTTGAAATTGTTATGGATTTTGACATTTTGAAACTGCTATGTATTGACCATTTGAAAATTTTCTGGATTTAGGAAATTTGAGAATGTTATGAATTTAGAAAATGTGGGGTGCTTCATTATTATGTGTGCTTACACATTTGTGTGTGTGTTTGTGTTTGCATATGTGAGGGACAGACATTTCTCTACAATGATGATGCCAAACAGTTACAGGCTTGTTGTTTTTTCCCCTTACTAACATGCTCTTTGTAGTGCTTTCATGTGGCACAGATAGTACTTGCCATTAGTAGTAGCATTGCAAATAATGTCCGTTTTTTTGTAATTTATTTGTTTTGCCTTCTGAAGAGTGAGTAAGAGCCTTGGGCTTGGAGAATTTACAGTTTCTCAATTTCCTTTTTGTTTCTTTCTTTGTGTTGCTGTGGGTTTATTTAATTAACATTTTCTGTCTGTAAAGTTGCTTACCTCATCATACCTGTTGCAACAAGCTGAAATCTGAAAACTTCTTTTTAAAGAATAATCAGTTTCTTTTTTTTTTTTTTTTGGTTGTCTGTATTTTTTATGCAAATAATAATTGCAATTGAAACCTAACTAACAAGTCTTTGTAAATTAAACCATGTATATCATTAATGAGTTTTTGTGTCTGTGATTGTGAGGGCAGGATCTGTACCCGTCCGTCATCATGTGCATTCTGACGGGCTTCTCGTGGGCTGACACCAACGTATGCCACAAGTGTTCCCTCATGCTCTGGCCCGTTTGTCGACAGGTAAATACATATCTATGTCCTCAGCCAGTTTTATAATACCCAATAGGCTAAAGAATGGATGTGCCAAGTTTTTTTTGTTATAGTAAGAGTTTTACAGCGCTCACAAGTGTTTACAATCATATGAGCAAGTGCCAAGTTTATGAACATGAATAAATGTTACCATCATGGGGTTTTTTTTCATCTGCATTCCAAGTCCGTCCTCACTATCCCTAGCTGGATGTTAGTTATGTATTCTGCTTCTGTCCCTCTTATTCTTTCCCGCTATTGCTCCAGTTTGATCCTGGCAAAATGTAGCAGCTGTTGTGTTCACTCCTAAATGATATTTATGGAGTGGATGTGCTTTTAATATAGTGTAAAGCGCAGAGAGCCTGCTGTTGAGCGGGGATATGCGCTATACAAATGCTATTTATTATTATTATTATTATTATTATTTTTCTTCCCTCAAACTCGGACCCCAAGTAGATTGTGGCAAAATGGGACAGATATCGTGTTGGCTCTATATAAACAACATCATAACTCCTTCAATAACCACAATGCATCTTTTAAGAGTTCTTGGTTTGCTCCATCTTTTGTATCAAACATCTATCTTCTTTATCTTTCCTTCCTTCTTTTGTAACACATCCATATTTAGATACTCATTTGACCTAATGGTATTGCAAGTGCTGTAAAACTCTTGATAAGACAAGACTTCACTAAACTCCCAGTGAGTGGGTGGTTGGAGGGTGCTGTGGTGTGGTTTGCTCCTTCTTTCCTTTCAAACATTGTCTTTATCTCTTCTTCCATCTATTCTATGTATGTTACTTTCTAGTCGCTACTAATCTCCAGCACTTATAAGTTATATGGCCTGATTTTTGTACAAGTGCCATAAAACTCTTACGGTAGTAAAACAAAACTGCAATTTCCTGTGTGAAAACTAAAACTCAGCAACTGTTCGAGATAACAACGTCTCTGTGGGTGGTTGGCGGGTGCTCTGGTGTGGTTTGCTTCTTTTTTCCTATCAAACATCTGTCGTCCTTATTTCCCTTTCTTTTTTTTTATGTTTGTTACTCTCTCTTGTAACACATCTAATCTTCTGGCGCTCATATGACCTTATGCAGTTGCGAGCGCCGTAAAACCTCTACTAAAACTAAACTAAAACAATGTTTCTTTGTCGTTTCACAACAGCTTGTGAACCAGAAGGAGATCTCGCCCGAGGCAGCCCAGCACTGCTTCATGTCGGTCCTGTCAGGACTCCAGCTCCATGGTCAGCACGACGCCTGCTATTCCACTTTGCTGCACCTCGCCATGACCTTCTACGAGACTCTGGTGAGAACTGCGTAATTGATTTACATAACTGCCCACCAGTGTGTAAAAAATGTATTTGATGTATTTTTGAGGAGTACTGATGTCTGTTTCCGTATCGGATAATACATATGTGTCACGACGTGGTGGAATCAGGCACTTTTCAAGTTTTGGTCATGTGAAGTTATTGTTGTCGTCTTAAAGATTGTTCATTTGTCTTGCTTTCCATGAAAAAAATATCCAGATATCTTGAATACAAGTCAAGATATTTGCGATTGAAGGAGGTAGGGGTTGCCTGGTTTCAGAGGTAGAATTTGTTGAAGATGGCCGCCAAAGTTTTGTTATTTTCTTGGCTTGAGAGTTTGTGGAAACAGAAAATTTACACTTTTTGTGCCTTTAATCAAAGTTTTTCAGTGCTATCCACACAGTAATGTGTTCTTTAATGGACATGAACGGTGTTGAGCCAAAAAATAAAGATTCCATAAAAATTCCTAAACCTGCAGAAAAATGCCAGTTTCTTCAGTTTCATTATTTTGACAAGCGCCTGATTTCACCACACTGCCTTACATATATTCTCTAGTATTGCTCTTCGTGAACTTGCTGATGCTTAAGAAAAATTATGAATTTTCAAGACCAAATTTGCAAATATTAATGAGAACACAGCCCATAAGAACACAGATTTTTGGTTGCAGATCTATTTCTTCTGACATAAGCAGATTTGTTTTGGGCCATATGGTTTCAATTGCATTTGATTTTTGATTTACTTTTTCCTCTGAAATGTGTCATATCAAAACTGGGAGTGAATGTTTTATCAAACCTTACTTTTTAAAATTTTGTTTTGTTTTGTTTGTTACAGAGAAAAGACTTTCCTGTTATGACTGCAGTGCTGCAACAGATTCCTGGAGTGGATTCAAAGCTTATTTATGTAGGTTGCGCGTATTGTGTTATGAATGAGAACATGTTCACCTCCTCAACATTCAATATATGTATCTGTAGTTAGAACACGTCTTGAATTGTAAGAGGAATTGTAGAGCTCTTTTGAGCTATTGTACAGCTGAGTGCTTGTCAGCAAAATATGTTAGTCCACTCACTTTCTTGAATATCAAATACTGAACTGATTTCTCAACCCTGGTATCACTTTACTGTTTTGCGAGTCCCATAAAACTTTTACTAAAACTAAACTAAAAAACACAAAATAGGTATTGTCAGAGGTAAAGAGCTTTCAACTGTTTTATGACATTTTTTTTTATACTCTTTTGTACTTGAGTGATAAAGCGATAACTGAAAGGGGCTGTTCTAGGGTTGCCTGACTTCTCTTTTAATTATCAATCTCTCTCTCTCTCCCTCTCTCTCGCTCTCTCCCTCTTTCTATCTCACTCTCTCTTCTATCTCTCTCACACACACTGTGCAGTCAATGGATGGGCACTCTCGTGTGATCTGCGCCTCCTTCTTTTCTGTTACTTTACCAAATCTTCTCAGAAAACAGAGAATATTATAGAGTATTTTAAGGTCTACTGGGGTGATAATGAATAGTGAAACGTATAGAGACTACTTTAAAGTAGGGATATAGTTATGTCTAATGACTGTTGTTTTGTTTGTGAATGCAAGATAACAAATTGTCGGGTATTTGCACAAAATCCCTGTGGTATCACGTCATCGTTATTCTGTTCTTCGCGTGCCGCTGTTGTCACACTGACATGTTGTATACTGTACCTCAAGGGGAATGACATTGTGGTTTTTGTTTTGCATCTTCAGGAACTGGATGAGAAAATCCTGCCAAAGCCTGGAAATGACAGAAAGAAAAAGGAAATCTTCAAGAAGATTGTGGCTAACATAGTCGGGGTACGTTGTTGAAAAGCTCATTTTGGTTGCAAGTCACAAGTAGTTTATCTCCAAGTTGTCCTGGAAATGTCGTGTTCATTTTATGAAAGAATCCTTCTCGAACTGGAGTTGTTTAGATTCCTCTACATACTAATATTACTTGAGGATTTTCATTTTTTTTCCATATTCTGGTGACACTGACAAATCAATATCTTAAATATCTTGCCTATGTACAATAAAAAATCAATGCACTCTCTCTTTCTCTCATATGAAAGCATATATCTCTGTCCGGGGAATGGAAACTCGCTGAATTGTTGTTACATGATTACATGAAATCTCCCACCCCTACTGCCGATATTATCAGTATGTGCGCGCAATGCTCCAACCCAAGCGCCGACAGATCTGTATGGAAAATTTCACTCTCTTAACCGAAAACACTACTTTTGTGCGAAGCAGACTATAGCCTACCCCCCGGGGCAGTGCCCCTGACTGTAGTGTCTTTAGGCCATGTGACATTTCTCGTTCAAGTATAGTAAAATAGTAAATGGGCTGACTCATGTCACGCTCATAACTATGTCTGATCTACAACAGGGAACTGCTGCTTTTTCTTTCCTGATTATTACTATTGTCATTTTCCTCTACCTCTTTTGTATGTTTGTCACTCTCTTGTGACCTGCTATTTCCGGGGTGCCTTGATAGTCGAAGTAGACCTTGTGCTGTTGAAACTAGAGAGGTGAGCAGAGTAAGTCTGATTCCCTGTAAAGACTTCTCTGTTGACACCCACCCCCTGGCGCTCATATGACCTTATGCAGTTGCAAACGTTGTAAAACCCTCTATAAAAGAAATAATATAAAAGACTATAGCCTAAATGGAAGAGTATCCATTTTTCGTTTGAAACAGACTATGACCAGAAGTGCAAGCCCAAATTTGGAACAAAGAAAGCTATATTCGTGAACCATGTGAGGGGGTGCGAAATTTGAACGCACTTCCTTTCTTCACTTTTTGTTTGCTTTTTGACTTTGTATATAGACCTTTTTCCACGAGTATTGCATCAAAACTATGACATATTTTGCCTTCAAATTTTTTAATCACTCAAATAAAGGTTTGAATAAAACATGTACAAAATTTGGATAGGATGTGTTAAAATTTAGGGTTTTTTTCTTCCAATTTTTCAAAAAGTGGTAAAAATCTGTAGGGAGAGCTGACAACCGCGAAGTGTAGGCCTAGGATTGAGTGAGTTAACTTTTGGTCTGTTGTGTTAAGAAGTCAGTCCTCCGATTGTCTTGTTTATCTTCTTTGCTGTTTTCTTTCACTTATCTTCCTTTTTTTTTCTTTTTTTTTTTGATTTCCTCAGAAAAACATTGGCCAACAGTTCAGACGTGCTGCTCAGTATTCGAATTTGCCACGTTTGTTCTTGGAGTCTCGGCGTCCGAAGCAGGAATCACTGGATGAGGTGGAGAAAGATGATATGGGACTGTGTGAACTCTTTTCCCCATCCAAGGTCTTCGATTAATGATTCTCAAGTCCATACAGATATTTTTTAATTTTTTTTTGAGGAGCAAAAGTAGTGTAAAAGCCACGATTTTTTGCTTTGTCTGCTCACTGAGTATCTCCTTCGTGATCTTTGGACACAGTTGTGTGGAAGATAATTGTGAAGACTTGTGCTCTCTGAATGCTTCTAGGAATTTTAATTTATGACAGGAATGTGTTCAACCACTTTTGTTGATTTTTCACTCCATTTGCACAATCTTTTTTAACCACTCCAAAAATATCAGGGAAACGGATGCATATTGCCTGGATTTATGAATCCCAGGGTTTTTTTTAATGTGTCTTGTACAGTTGCTGGTAAATATCTCGATGTGACTGGTCCGACCAGAGATATGGATAAATGTAAATGTTTTTCATGGAGGATGGTAAAGAGTAGAATCTCGTGTCATTTAATTTCAAACTAAACCCTATCTTTACTTTTGTTTTCTTTTATATTTGTGTTTTATGAACAAGAGTGGAAGAGTTAGGCATGATGAAGAGCTTTACAGCTTGATAAACCATAAAATCACTTTCAGCTTCAAGCAATTTCTCAGTTCTGTTCATCATTTACTTACACATGGTTTTGTGTTTTAAGTGGTTGTCGGGTATGGTAGAGAACGTTATTCGAACAATGGTGCTTTCTTTTATGTGATATAATGCCAACTGATTGTCCTGAAGTACCCGCACAGTATGGGACTGTTTCAGGATTGACAAGCATTATCACCTGGTTGCTTTAACACAGTTTGAGGCTTGTTTGTAACATCTGGCTTCTGTTGTTGAAGCACTAGTTTTGTGACAAGTTTTTAGTTTTCTTTCACAGGATGATTGTGTTGTGTGTGCCAAGGTCAGTGGCATTTCTTAGGTTGCTCAGATATTTTTACTTTAGTTCCTTAAAAGTTAAAAGAGACTATTTCAAAACATTGTGAATTCTGTACTGTAAATATTTATTGTCATAGACTCATTCAAGTACTTCAAATGATGGCTGTTGTATTGTGAATGATGTTAGAAATCAAAAGAGCCGAGAGTTTTTTTATAGTGCGGTTGACAAATATTTTACAGAATAGTACATTTGTATTTCATTAAAGTTGATTATCTACTAGTATTTCTAGTAGTGTACCTTAATTACACTTTGATGCAATCAAATTGTGTTGCAAGTGAAAGCTCAGAGGTTGTGCTAATGGTGGCTGCTGTTTTTTTAACATTAAACATAGAAATAGAAAGAAGTAATCAAATGAACAATGGATTGATAGCATTACCATGAGGATCTTGTCTTGATATTGTTTGTGTGTTACTTGTAAGATGTATGTCCTGGTTGGAATGATATTCAGCCCTCTCAAAAGTCCATAAATGTCTTCGTCCAATGCAAACTTTGGTAGTGTTAGACTTGTTTTTTATTTTCTTGTCTTCCCATTAAGTTCATGATCATGTTTGAATTGACTGGGAATGCATTATTCATCATCAGTGCTTCCAATCTTCCACATTTTTACGTAGGTGGTTGGCGGGTGCTCTGGTGTGGTTTGCATCTTCTTTCCTATATCATTCTTATCTTTCCTTCTTCTTTTTTATGTTTGTTACCCTCTTGTATCACCTCTAATCTTCTGGCGCTCATATGAACTTTTGCACTTGCGAGCGCCATAAATCTTCTACTAAAACTATACTGAACATTTTTACGGAAATCTGTACTTTCTGAAAATTCTGTACTTGCCCCTTTGCTGCTGCCAGACCCCCCCTCCCCCTGCAGAGAATTTTGATAACTGTTCTGTGTTGTGTATTGGAAGCACTGAATCATCAGAGACTGGGATTTGAGTTCTTTTCTTTTACTTTCTGTTCTAGTTACCTTAGAATAGGTTCCCTCTGAGACAGGGTAGAGGGATCAATGTAATAATACATATTGATGTGTTTACAGAAAGGCAAGTCTTAGTCTTCTAAGCTTTAGTGAAATGTTAACTCTAAATGTCTGAACTGAAGCAGCCACAGAGATAAATACCAGTATTTCTAGCACACTCATCGAGTTCATCTCTTGCGAAAGTATCCTTTTGCACTTGGACAAACTGATGTAACTTTTGATCACAAACTGACTACACTTTTCATCAAGTGCCTTTCTGAAGGATTCTGTATTCTATCAGGCAAATCCAGAGACTGAACGTATGCAAGTTCAATTCCCCAAATAGTGGTTTAAAAATAGAGAGAGAACAGTGTATTTCCATCTGTGTGCAGAGATGTTGTATCCCGACCAGCCAGAGTTTGCCTTGACGGGCAGAATTGAAGCAGCCGGCCTCTTAAATTATTTAAATGGCGTAATGAGGTACAATAATCCATTTACAATGAATCACTGAACGAGCGTGTAAGTACACTTACTTAGTTACTGTACTGTAGTCTCCGTCTAAACCCACGGTGCTCAGGAGGGCTCCAAAGCGTGCAATAGCAGTGCGCAGCCTCTTGCCTCTTAGGATTCGATTGCAATAGTCATTTGATTTTTGTTTTCCACAAACATTTATACTGTTTGTATCAACGGAGTGGCTACTCGCCCGCGATCTCGGGTGGTTAGCGTCAGGCTAGTCGCCCGATCTCTGTCGATTTCTGCACATGTCGGGTGAACGAATTTGGTCGATTAGCCCCGCCTAGCCTGCGGCTTCTGGCACTCCGTGTTCTTGCCCTTAAGGGCGTGGGCATTTCTCTGTTTCTGTCTCTCTCTCTGTCACTATTTCTCTGTCTCTGTCTCTCTCGCTGTCACTGTCTCTCTCTTTCTCTCTTTCTCTCTCTCTCTCTCTCTCTCCGTCTCTCTCTCTCTGCCTCTGCCAGTGCATATCTGGTTGAACGTTCTTCTGTTCTTTCTTTCCTGCAAGGGTGCCATATTTTCCGCTTCCTTTCTGTACTCCCAAATCCACCATCGTCTCCACAGCAGTACTGGCTTCTGCTTCCTTATCTTCCTCTTCAATCAGGTGGCGAGAGAAACATTTCAGGATCTCGACCTCGTCTGGTTGAAACGTGCTGTCTACTGGGGGGAGGGGGGGTGCTGGCTCACCAGCCAGTCTATCGGCTTTTTCATTTCATGACCAAGGCAGAAAATCCATGTGAGCGATCTTATTTTATTGGCGTTGCTTCTATCAATTGAATTCATTCCGGTCTCAGGAAACCTTTTTCGATCTTTCTGAGGGTACAGATGAAATCTGAGATGAGAACAGCATGGTTTGTGTGGGGGCGATCTTAGGTCATCCACTCAAGTGCTGTCGTGATGGCTTCAATTTTCTTTCATATGCTTGGTGTAGCCCTGCTGCAGGATCCAGATGCACTGTTATGATTTTATTGTTGTCGAATGCAACAAATTCCCATCCACTTCGCTGGCTATCTCTTTTCACTGAGCCATCTGTATAAATTACTGGATGCCCTGCTTTTGAATTTTTGTCAACAATCTCGTTAACATTTCTTCTGTCTCTGCCCATGCTATTTTGACCTCGGTGAGGCCCCTGTATTCTCCTGCCACCTTTTCCCATTCTTCGCCAAGTGGTAGATTTTCAGGTACACAGACTTTTTTTAGGGAATCCTCTGCTTCCGCCATCCAAGACTTTCCTCTTTTGATTCTGCCTCTCTTGTTCTCATGAAGTGCTTTGTGCAGTGGATGATCTTTCTTGCCCTTCTTTGCTTGAGCTATCATATGGCGTACTCTGATGCCACCTAAACCTAGCAAGAAGCGCATTTACAATATTGGAGTGTCCTTGGTGCAGTACAGCACTGCACTCCTGGCCTCATTCGGCAATTTTGTCTAAAGGGCGTACTCCGAAAGGAGGAAGACAATGTATCGAAATCGAAGTATGCTTTCCAAATGGTTCATATTTGTTGGAAAATGAATAAACTTCAGAACACGCTTCTTTTAATCTACATGGATCTTCATTTGATACAAACGTGTACAGACTCTGCGAACAAAGTGTTGCGTTTTTAATGGCGTTCAGCATAACTTTATATTCTTCTTGTGATTGAAAAATGGACAAGTTTCCACGGACTTTGATAATTGTCGAACCGATCTTTTTGGGGAACCGATAATTACAGAGGCAGTATTTGGGTTTTACGTTTTGGCATTCAAAGGGCTTTCCGTCACACTGAAAAGCTCTTACACTAACACAGACACACATGCAAATACAAACACACACACACACACACACACAGAGAGAGAGAGAGAGAGAACCTATCTCTTTTTTATCAACAGGACATGTATCATAATTTGGACAAAGAAGAAACAGCGTTGAACACGACATCTTTCAGAGCGCGGTATAGATACATGTATTTTTGCGGCAAAGCATGGCAACAAAGAAGGACGTATCACTAACAAAAAATGCTTTGAATAATTTTGGAAGGCCCCTGAGGTACAGTATTCGTGAAATATTATATACATGTCTTTATATAATTATATGTATTCATATTATACACACACGCTTGAAGCAAAGCTAAAAGAAAGTATTTCTTTAGAGCAGCAGGGCTCATTGTTAGAAAAACATATTACTTTAAATGTAAATAGGGCCTACAATTCTTAGTACTATAGTATATTAATATTGTAATTTTTTAAAATATATAAATACTATACATACATATAGAATGAGATTTCAACTCCGTAGCAACAGCCGTAACATAGATGGAACACTTTTTATAGCGCGATTATGAAATTTGATTTGACAATGCGGAGCTGTTACAGCAGTTTACAGTTTACATCTTAGAACGGAAACACATATGAGGTCAAATGTCTGATCGGATTGGATCGGGTCGGGTGGGGTCGTGCTTAGCGCTGGCCAGTGCTCACTATATCAAATTGAGCTCCGCTTTAAGGATCGAATTTGAACTAGAAAACCTTTAGGCCCTATCGCATTCCGGGCGCAAACAAAACATCTGATCCTTCAAAGTATAGCAGCCATCTGACTGACTGATTTCATAATGGATCCGATAAGGACAAAAACTTAAAATTGGTCTATGTTTGGTTTTGGAAGAATCGATCAAGTTGTAGCAAAATTTAATGGACGTTAGCGTTAAGGTGTTGAGCCAGAAAAATAAATTCAAATAAAAAAAGACAATAATATAATAATAATAGTAATAATAATAATAATAATGATGATGATAATAATAATAACAATAATAATAATAATAATAATAATACTTACAATGATCATAATAGTAAGAAGAAGAAGAAATCGATAAAAACTTCCCAACGAACGGAAACATATTGGTGTCTTCGATTTCATTATTTTGACGAGCACCTGATTTCACCACGTTGTCAAACACATGTTATGAGTTCACTACGTCTTTAAAGAGTTAAAACACGGCGGAAGATATTCGGAGACGTCTCCGGCGAGCACCCAAGAACTATCCGGAGACTCACTCCCGCACACTGATGCACTGCTTTGGGGGTCAAACTGCGTATTATTTGCTGCAGGTCACAAATAATATAGCCACTAAAACAATTGCAAATCAATTATTTTCAAAGAAAATTTCAAACTTAACAAAATATCAAATTATGGGTTTAAAACAGGGACACCCCCCCCCCCCCCCCCCCGTAACCCCTCAGATTTTTTTACTTGGTCTAGAGCACAAAGCATTTTGATTGGTCTATTTCCGTCGGAGCCGTCTCCGAATAGATGCTGCGTTAAAACACACATCGTTGCGCTCTCTGAGAGCCACCTGGGATAAAGTGACTCCGCAGTATCGTTTCGTTAATCTTGGAAGTCTGCATATTATTATAGTCACCGAAACACATTTTTTTTATGGCAACAACGCAACGCCCGAAAAGCGGTTAGTAAAATGAAAACGTCATTTGAAACCAAAATACTGCTCAGTTTATTGGGGTGTGGGGGGCAAACATAGAGATCGCAAACTTACAGTTTAATAGAAGCAAGATTGGGAAAATAGCACACATACACACTCACACACACACACACACACACACACACACACACACACTCACATATATTATATATAATAATATATATTATTTATATATATTACATTTTAAAAGCTTGTATTAAGCTAAGTACAAGTAATATAATGATATTATTATGTTTCCGTTTAACATAAACTCCTCATTCAATGATATCATTCGTCTTCACAGAAGAAACTCATTATGGGAGGCAAGCATGGCGTACAGGCGTTTGTTGTGTAATGGCTAATGGCTAGGCTCTACGTCCAATGCTAGAAAACGACTAAAATTCGATTCTCATTTGCAGAAGTGTTTTATAAACCATTATCCAACATCACCCTCTTTCGGCTGGGAAGCTGTCTGTACCCTCCCCCCCCCCCCCCCAACCGCTCAAATCAGCCTGGGTTGACTTTGGTGTGCAGGGTCGAAGCAGCCCACCTCCTTAACCCTATCCGTATGTCGTGTTTTACTATCGTATCCATACGACGTGGGGAACTCTGTGCCACCACTTTCCAAAGAGGAAATTCACTCGTTAATCCGATCCGTACGCTTTGCATAGCAGTCTGTCAAAAAGATTTTTTTAAAGAAATACTGAAAGTTTCAGAGATCTTCGTACTTGACGTATTCTAAAATGTTAAGAATACAACCCATGGGGTACAAAATGGCCTCAGGCGTACAGGCAGGGTTAATGATCTAAATTAATAGTAGTGCAGTGTCGGTAAGGACGCAACACACCGAGAATCATTTTAAAAACAAGTAGAATCGGACTCACAGATTGAATGCATTTTCAATAAGGTACAGACAAAACAGTTGAAGTGAAGGGTAGAGTACGCCAGACGAGATAGGGGTAAATAATTACTTAACACGACTTAAATACCAGTACACACACACACACACACACACACACACACACACACACACACACACACACACACACACACACACACACACACACACACACATATATATATATATATATATATATATATATATATATATATTATACAAAAAAGCAAAACACAAAACACAAAAGTAATGCTTACAAAGTCACACAAGGTCAAGCGACCTGCCTATAAATCTACACACACACACACACACGCACACACACACAAACACGCACACACACACACACACACACACACATATCATAGGCAGCAATAATGTTACAGAAAAATGGCTTTTAGCATTAATTCCCAGCACTGAAAATTACAATATAAGCAACTTAAAATCGCCGGTGTAACATGTGTATCTTTCATGTTGATGCAACATAATATATTCGTCACAAAAAAGATAAAACTATAGATGTATGGCATTTCTCAGAAATCAATTCAGTTTTGACAGATACTTCACTTTGTTGTACAGTAAAGAAAGACGGGGATATCAAACAGTTCATCACGTTGCATCGGAATTAGTAGAAAGGCATTGTTTGTCAAGACAAATCGATAACAACCCCAAGTTTTTATAATGGCTGAAATGAACTGAACTTACGTCCCATGTAAGCTTTCTGCAACATTTATCTTATTAAAGTTTATTTGACTCCCCGCTTTGGAAACATTTTTGAGGGATTAAAAAAAAAACGTGTCTTTCGCTCGTGACGTCGCGTCGCCCATAATGTCGCCCGTATAGAAAGTGTACCTACTGACCAAAAAAAACAACCTTTACACGCGGGAAAGCCTATAAATCTGGACCAAAGTGCACAATTCACACTAAAATTGACAGGAAACAAGCGGAACCATCCGGAAAGAGAAAAACATAACAAAAGCAACTGAATGTTGAAAGCAGCCTTGGCTACTCCGAAGATGAATTAACAGTTCACTGTTGAACAACGTATTTTTATGGTTGGAACATATATCGAAACAAAGTCCCCTATGCGGACACGCTATCTCTTATGTAAACGGTTTGGAATTGAAACCAAACACCGTAAGAAAATACCAAGTAAAGTAACAATACTTTAGTGGGTGGCTGACTTCAAGTCACATGGCTCTGTTGAAAGTAGTAACAAGAGTTTAAAAACTAGGGTTGCCAACATTGGGAGACCGATGCCAGAGCGCACTCCTGAGGATGTGGCAGTGGTTATGGCGTCTGTGAGCGAAGAACCCTAAAAAGTCAGTTCGTCGGTATAGTATAGAATTATCTTTTGCTACAGAATCTGTCCGGTGCATGTTGAGGTATAATCTGTATTTTCAACCGTAACAAAATCCAGGTACATCAAAGGCTCAGCGACGCCAGTGCAGCAGACAGAGTGAGAGCGTAGAGGTGGTTGTTTCAGAAGATTGAAGAGGACTAGACATTGCTGGGCAGAACCTGGTTTAGTGATCAGGCACACTTTTACCTGTCTGAGCCTCTGAAAAGCCTGGCAAAGTGTACGAACGATCTCTCCACCACTTCTCCACCACTAGAAAGTCACTGCCTGGGTTCCCAAGAGCCGCCAGGTCATCATTGGCCCATATTTCTTCATGGACGGGGATGGAGACAGGCTGACGGTCACCTCCGACCGTTACCTCAAGATGTTGACCAGGTTTTGGGGAGCTCTGAGTAGGTTGGTCGGAACGTAAGTGAGAGCAGAACGGTATTTCATCAAGATGGTGATGCCTCACACACTGCTAGAACTGTCCTTCAGTGGTTGAGGGACCACTTTGACGAGATACTTATCAGTCGCGGCACAGTGAACCCCTGAGCTTCTCAAAGTCCCGATCTCAACCCCTTAGATTTCCACCTTTGGGGGGTACCTAAAGGACAGAATATGTGACAGTAACTTTCACCCCCCCCCCCCAAAGCAGCTGAGAGACACTGTTACTGTTACCACCAATGTTAGAGCCACCCCCCCCCCCCTGGAGCAAATAGAAAATGTGAGAGAAAATTTTGTCAAGCACCTCAGAGCGTGTGCTGCCTGAAACAGACGTCACATGGAGCATGTGCCTGAACTTTGTCTCAATAATTCCGGATGGTGACCAAGTACGTCCGTGAAATGTTGGGTTTTTATCTCTATTTTAACAGTTGTTATGGGTGTCTCCGCAGGTAAAGTTTTTTTTCGTCACCTGGTGAATCCTGAATGTACCCCCTACATCAAATCAGCCCCCCCTCCCCCCAAAAAAAAGGGGGGGGGGGCTCAAATTTACTTTTACCCGTTTCTGTACTCGGAAGTCTCTTTACGTAGGATGTAAGTTCAGCTCATTCACGAGTTATTACCACTCCGATTCTCAGCAGTCAAGCGAAAACAACACGAGGGAAGGATAACGAGTAGAGTACTTTTTTTGGGGGGTCTGGAAGCATAAATCACAGAAACTCTGAAAGCGTAGGCTTAGTAAAAATAGCACACGGACACAATTGCGGTCTTTTAAAGCTGAGAAATCGTTTGACAGACAGACAGACAGACAGGCAAGAAGGGGAGAAAGGGGGGGGAGAAGGGAAGAGAGAGAGAGAGACAGACAGACAGACAGACAGAGGGGGAGAAAGGGGGGGGGGGAACCTATCAGTAAACACATTCAACCTCCCAAAAACTCAAAAATCACCATTACGTAAAAACAACACCATTAGGCTATAAGACGGATTCCCCAGAAAGTTGTTTTTTCTGCGATTTCCCCTCAAAGCCGGGACCCTTGTAATCTTGGGGTGATTTCTTCTTTGAAGCAAGGGTAGTGAACAATTCCATGGTAACATCCTCCTTTTGACACATCTGTCTCTGTGTTTAATTTTTGTTGCATCCATAATGCGCCTATCATCCTTTTTTTATTATAACAAGGCCTCTAACAATCGAGGGGTTTGTTAAATTCCCTAAAAAAATAAGACAGTTTATTCATAAACAACAACAACAGCAGCAGCAGCATCATCAACAACAACAACAACAGCAACAACAACAACAACAACAACGGTATTAAGTTACTTTGCAAGAAATCATCTGTCACGTATGCTCAGTTGCGGCCTCGCCAGTGTCATCAACCAATGAACTAAGGCGGATGTGAGAAAGCAGGCGCCAGCGAAGACGAAGGAGTAGGCGTAGTTTCCCGAGGCGTCGTAGATCCGGCCCGCAATAGGAGCCCCCACAATATTGGCTAGACCCTTGATGGTCGTGAGGAAACCGAAGGCAGACACCAACGAGTCCAGACCGAAATACTCCACTAGGATGAGGGGCTGAAGAGGTGGGAAAAATCCTGGAGAAAAAGGAGAAGCATGAGGAATTTAAAAACAATGTAATATGAGCACCCAACTGTAAAAAGTCTGTGCCGTCCGGTGGAATCAGGCGCTCGTCGATTTTTAGGCATATAGAGTTATTTGGTATAATCTTAAAGCTTGTTAATTTCTCTTGCTTTAAAAAAAGAATTACTGATGCATTCTGAATAGAAGTCTTAAGTTTTCGATTGCAGGAGGTGGGGGTCGCCTGAAGTCAGAGGTAAAATTAGCTAGAAAATGGCAGCAATGTTTGGTGACTTCCAAAGCTTGAATATTCTTGGAAACTGCGCATTTACATTGTTTTGTTCTTTTAACCTGAACCCCTATCCCTGTTTCCATCCTTGTTTATTCGTGGTCTCAACAATAATGCCATACCTGCTTAAAAACAAAATTCATAACAGAACTTTTGTCGTTCTTCAAAACTGATTACCATTGAACACACAATGCAATTGTACTATTTTTAAAATAGAAATCTTAGACTGATTAACAGCGTTTGTGGTGTTATGAACAGGCTTTTCGCCATTGCGCACAGAGGCATGAGTACGATTCCCGAACGTTTAGAATATTTATCAAGTATCTTCGTCTGACTACTGAAGTGTTACATCCCACTCAGAGCGGGTTGCCACTGTCAGGCAGCAGAGTTGAAGTAACCCTCCACCTAAATAATCTAAATTTTAGGCTATCTTTAGGTCTGTTTAAAAGTTACATTGCACTCAGAATCTACGGGCCCGTTAAACAGTTACATAATCATTACATTTAGACCGACCTAGGAAAAATCCGAAGAGCGACGCGAGCACACAGAGTGACCAGAACTGAGTGTAGAGTGGCGAGAGAAGGCAGGCCAGACCGCCCAGAACAAGGGACATGTTGTTCAAACGGAGCGGGTCCAGCCCGAGATTGGCCAGACTTCCTGCCAGCAGGCGGCCAAAGATGTTGGAGGAACCTGCCAGATAAATAAAAAGATTCCACATGCGCTAGCCAGAAAAAAAAACCTCTTGGGAAATAAAAGAGTTTAGGCAAAACCGTAAATAGGTCTACTTCAGCCTTCTATTCGGAGTACTGTTGACCTACTTGAAATGTCCGAGGTCTCCATTCTCTGTCAGACCAACAGAGGGGTAGCCCTGATTTCAAAACACGAAGGATGAGTTTAACTTAATTTTAAAATGAGGATTTGGGGGGGGGGAGGTTTGAGGGCTGAAGTAGACCTTTACCAAACAAATTAGCCGACTATTGTGGCATTTATCAGTACACTGTGTCAATCTAAAGAAAGAGTGAATCTATCAAATAACTATAGTATTAATACCAGAAGCCTATAGTAAAGAGGGGGGGGGGGGGGTCCAAAGCAAAGCATCGGCGTCAGTGGTGTACCGGTCAAGCGCACACCAATGCATGTAGAAAACCTGAGTTCGATTCCCGTGTGGGGAGAACTTTTATCGAGTACAGCGGTCTATCTCCTGTGACGTTGAATCCTTCTCAGACCGGGTTATTCTTGACATGCAGGGTCGAAACCCGCCTTCTAAATGGTGTAGATAGGGGCATAAAACACCCACATTTAAACAGTTTGAAAAAAAAAGACAAAGCAAATCATCATTAGAAACTGAATACGTCTCAGCCTTTGTGAAATCTAAAGTTTAATTTAACTGTATTTGCTGAATTACGAAAGTGCAATATTATCCTAGTTGGACCGTATTAAGAGGTACACACATAACCAATAATACCGCACTGAGAAAAGGGTATACATACGAGTAAGAACTTTAAAAAAGGGCCACAAATTAAAGACGCTTAAATCTTCCTTTTAAATTATCGAAGGCTGTAACATTATTTTTTCAACAGACCGTGACACAACTTGGTCGTTTGAGCAATCTGTTCACAACATTAACTATCAACAAAGAGTAAGTTGGTAGGTTCATTAATCTTAACCACACTATGCTGGCGTACCTCATAAGCCATGGAATCGCACTTTTTCACATCTTGACATACCAAGAAATGTAAAACACGTCGCGCCGAAAGGGTTAAAGCAAGAAAGAAACAGAATAATTAATGTATTCCCCTTTGTTTGTGCATATTATTAATGAAAGCACACTTTAAAAGTATCCAGAGTACCATTTAAAAGTTATCAATACGAGACTATTCAATACCTACCAAGCAAGACCATAAGGATAGCTGTATGAGATGAACTCAGTCCGTACTGGTAGGCATAATCCGCCAAAAACGTCCCAGCAATTGGGTATCCAAACTGGATGAGCGAAGCACCAAAACAGAAAATGTGAAAGGCGGGCATACTCAGCAGTTGTCTCGTTGTGTATCCTGAGAACGGGAGGGACTCGTCTACGTCGGGAAAAGCTGGACATGTTTCGATAATGTCAACATTTTCAGTACTTTTGTGATACGAGGGTATATTAAGGTAAGAGTTTGACCCTTGGTGTCCTGTTGGAGAAAGAATAAGTATCGGAGGCATGATCTGTTGACTTTTGTTTTGAGGAGCGTGTTTGTCTGAATTGTTCAGCAGGTGCTCTTGCAACACACTTTCATTTGGTTTACCATTTGGCAGAGCCCCGATTGAGTGGTCTTTCGCAGATACATTAGAAACACTTTGAAAAGGGGAATGAGTATTATGAATATAATTATGAGACGTTTTGAGCTTTGGAGGAAGATGTAAAGAATTCTCAGTTGTGGAGTTCCCCAAAACTAGCAAATCTGAAGGTTGTTCATCGTCGCAGTTGTCTTTGGGAATCCTGGAAGAGCTGTGATGATGATGGTCCACGTGTAAGGCACTCGACTGGGAGGCGTGAAGACTGTGCAAATGTTTGTTGTGTAAGCTTTTCAGGGTGGAAATACTGCCAGCAAGATACAGGTTGCTGCCGTGGTCAGGGGGGAGGAGATGACTCTGTGAATGAGGACGATGAGAATGGTGGTGGCTGTGCTCGCTCGTTCCGTGATTTGTGGACAGCAAATACTGCTGTTTTCCTCTGGGAGCGCTGTCGTGCTCTTTATCCGTTGTCCACGTCGGCAGATTATGAGCAGAACGGTGCAGACGATCAGAGACTTGTGGGTTGGACGACGGCTGTAGATGATCGTCACCCTGCAGTTGATGGGCACTTTTCCACTGCACCCTTTCTGTGCCCTTCCCTGTTCTTTCCAGTTTCTTTTGGCTTCCAAATTGGAGATGTGGGAAAAGACTTGCATGATCAGACCTCGATTTGGCAAAAAGGCGATATTGGAGATACTGTAAGGCAGATTTTGGTTTCTTTTCGTGGATGCTGCTTTCTTGAGCAGGTCGGTCGTCGTATTTTGAACCATCCACCGAAGTTTTACTTTGAGCGTACGGTAAACTTTCATTCGAGGCAGTCAAGCTGATTTCGCAAATATCGGCAAAATCCGTTTCCCACGACTCCACACCCTCATCCCCAAACCACCGATTGCTGCCCTCTTTTGAATGACTCTGCAACTCTCTTTGCTCACTCCAGCATCCATCTTTCCGTCCGCCCTGTTCCCCCGTCTTGTGAGAAGTCCCCAGGCTGGGCGGTCGGTAGAGACTGGAGAAGACACACATGTTGAGCAGGATCCCAGCAAGAATGAGAACGGTGCCCTCGAGGTGATAGCGCTCCAGCAGGAAGTTGATGAACGGTGCAAGGCACAGCAGACCCGCCCCGGAGCCGGAAGTGATGATGCCGTTGGCCAAGCCTCTTTTCTCGTGGAAGTAGCCGTTGACGATCACAATGGAGGGCACGAACACCAGGCCACAAGAGCAACCTGATGATTAATGGGAAAGAATTAAGACCCTTACGTGTCTCCCTATAATATCCAAACTGTATACTTTATATCCCGTGCTCCAGGGCTGAATGAACGAAGGGATGAATAAATAAATGAATAAATAAATAAATAAATAAATAAATAAATAAATAAATAAATAAATAAATAAATAAATAAATAAATAAATAAATAAATACGGGAATAAAAAAGATAAATACAGAAATAGAGTCCACTTTTCGAGGCCCTTGTGAAATGTGTGCTACAATGCCGTACACAAATACACACCTTAATGCGTAAATACATGAATAATACGCAATATCACAAGCATAGAAAATTTGTGGGCACCATTGTGCAGCACCCTGTTTTTGAGCAATGGACATATTATAGTGTCTAGGTGAAGGACATACCCCACTGACCACCCACCTTAACCTATACAGAATGGGGGGGGGGGAGAGAATGGGTGAGGGAGCGTTTAAAGAACGCTATAGTGTCCATTTGTAAGAATAAGGCGAAATCTGAGATATCAAGCGAACTGTAGGCTGTCAAACGGCGCCACTGGTACTGATAGGTCTTACATTCTTGGGCGTCGGTAGACCAGTGATTTGGCTACCGAACCTGTAACCGTGAAGTTGTGGGGTCGGAGGTTGGAAGCTAAGTTCATGCAGCTCGACCGGACGTTGTGTCCTTGAGAAAGACACTTTCTGTGTCTGTCTGTCAGTTTGTCTGTCGGTCTGTCCGTCTGTCTGTCTGTGTCTGCTTATCTCTGTCTCTCTGTCTGTCTGTCTTGTCTGTCTGAATGTCTGTCTGTCTGAATGTATGTCTGTCTGTCTATCCCCTTTTCTCACTTTCTGCCAATGCAACACTTGACCGAATAAAGAAAACCAAAAAAAAAGGCACATCACCATCATCGTCATCGTAGTAGTCGCTGACGTCGTCATCATCATCATCATTATCATCATTATGAACAACACGACAAAAACAGCAACAACAACAACAACAACAGCAACAACAACAACAGCAACAGCAACAACAAAAAACATCATCATCATCAACAACAACAACAACAACATTCAACACAAGTCTCACCAGCCATGAGTCCATAAGTAAGAATAAACACGATGATGTTGGGACTGAAGACACTGGCCACAAAGGCCACACAGCTGAGAACACCGCCAAGCATGGACACAGAGCGGAAGCCAAACCGACGCACAAGCTCGGCCGACACGGTACCTAAAGAAGGAGACAATATATATATTTATATAATGGGTTTTTTTTAAAAATTTAATGAAAAACCCAGAAAGGAAGAGTCAACATCACTTGGTTTACTGTTTTATTGGAAAAGGGGGGGGGGTGAATTGAACATGGAACAAGTTAAGAGGAATAGATAGTGGAGGTGGGGGCAAAAGAGAGACAAACACATACACACACACACACACACACACACACACACACACACACACACACACACACACAGAGAGAGAGGAAGAGAGAGAGAGAGAGAGAGAGAGAGAAAGAGAGAGAGAGAGAGAGAGAGAGAGAGAGAGCGCACGAGACACATTAAAGATTTTAAATTGGTAGAAAATTTGGAATTTTGCCCGAAGCCTACTCTTATCGATTTTGGACCACCAAAGGATCTTTAACGTGCTCAACTTGCACACTGGACTTCCGAGATTTTTTTCCCTCGTCCGAGAAGGCTAGGTGTAGATCTTTCCTACTATACGATCAGAGGTGTAGCTGAAATATAGCAGTGAGCCAATGAGTAGCAGTAGAAAGGCTGCAGAAAGAGTCAGGAGCCCAGCTGAGGGGGCAAAGGGGGTGAGGGGGTGGGGCCAGAAAGAGGAGACGAAAGCAGACGATAGAACATTGCTTGACAGCAGGAAAGGAGGTGAAAGTAAAACATTTTAGAGATAAAAAATTTCCGTCACTATTCGGATTCGAACCCGGGACCTATTGAATGAGAGGCGAAACCTTTAACCTCTTGGCCACGAGAGCCCCCTAGAAGGAATCTTCGAAAACAGTGGCCAGACACCATTACAATCAAGACATCTAGCAAAAAACACATCACGCCAGCGACCTATGAAAGAAATAATCCTCTAAAGGCGGTGGAGATAGCTCGGCTAGACGCTCCGAAAGCCAAAAGTCAACATCACAAGGCAAGCCCTAACTTGAAATCCGCAGGGGAAGAGTAAGAGAGGTCTACCAAACACGGGGCGTCTTGAGGTGGAAGAGGATACAAGGAGGTTGTGGGGTTGTAGGAACACCCTCAGAAACTGGCGCAAGGTCGAGATGCGTGGAAAACGCTTGTTGGTGGCCTATATTATCCAAGGTGGGACCACGGCCTAATTGAGTAGGTCGAGATTGGTTAGGTAATGCATCGTTCAAAAGCATGTGGGGAGTTGGGAAACGGTGCTCAGGGAGCCAATACCACTAACACTCTACTAAAATTCAGAATTACATATATGAACAACAATGCAGACAAAATAACCCTGTCAAGACACTTCACACTTAATGGGTTTAACTTTAAAATTTTCATAACGCCAGTTCTTGTAGTTTTAGGCAAGGAAATTACAATATATTTTTCTTGATTCAATTGTGAGGCAACGGGGTAAAACCAGGGGCCCTCGTCAAAATAATGAAATCGAAGAAATCGACGTGTTCCCGCCCGTTGGAAATTTTAAAATGATTTTCTTATAAAACTAACACCATTTGTGTCTATTTAAAAGCTGATTTCTAAGCTGATTTTACTAATAAACGTTGAGAAAATTACAAAAAAGTAAATAAGCAGTTTCCAAAGACAGTCAAGTTTTTGATTTTACCAAACGTTGGCGACCATTTTCTCGCTAATTCAACTAATTGTACTTCTGGCACGAAGCGACCCCAACCCCCTACAATCGCAAATATCTCGATTTCTATTCAATATATATTCGGGTATTTTTTTTTTCATCAAAATCAAGACAAATGAATACGCTGCATGAAGACAATGCCAATAGCTCCATATGCCCCGAAATTGACGAGAGCCTGATTCCACCGTATTACGACATCAATTTTAAAACGAGGAGAAGGATATGACCGGCGCATGGTCACTTTTTAAAAAATAAGATAAAGGAACGTTTCCATCCCATAATTCTTAAAATACGTTTAAAGTCTGTTTCGTACGTGCATGACGCCATGGTGACTCACATGTGGCTCCACTGAGAGTGAAGACCCTGGGTGTGCATACTAGGTCAGGTAAGTTCCGAATGGGGTGGGGGATGGGGGTTAAAGATTTGTTTTTACATTCTGGTTAAATTTTCCATC